TTTCCTCGGGAGATTGCATTAACTGAAAATCAAAGTTCGAAGTGTGTGTGTTTTTATCATCATAGATTGACATGAATATTGACATCAACGGCCGAGCAAATGCATGGTGCTTGAGATGGCAACATCCGAATTTGCACCTGCTTGCCTCAAAAGGCGCTTGGTTGAATACACAGAGCAAGTGCGAGGACGTCAATGCTAAATGCACCCCCTTGCAACCACGCCATTTGTACATGCAAGATTCGCCTTGCAAGTCTAAAATTGACAAAGGCTGAACCTTTCAAGATTAGAGCAACCATCACAGCTCCATTGCAAATAGGTCACTAGATGCTGCTGGCATAGCGCACAGAACAGGATACCGCAGCTTCACAATCCGTGAGTGCCTCCGGGGCCATGTGCTGAAAGCAGCTGGGCCGGGGAATATTCCTCGAGCTGGAGACTTTGTGGACCTGAGAAGGGACGAAGCAAAGGACCGTAGGATTTCTTGCATCGACCCAGAAGGCCTTCAAGCCCGTCGCTCCAAACCACGTCAACAGAGCCGCTTGCTTAGGTTCTCCCATGTCAAAGGCTGGAGGGAAGCCTGCTAGCAATGTAGAAGAATTGCTTGCTCTTGGCGTGCACAGTGAAGCCAAAGGAAGGGAGAGAGTGGGAGGTAGGCTATCCCTCCGTCGCAGGGTGCTTTTCCTGGCGGCTATAATGAAGGACACCGCCTTTGTGTGCCGAGCGCTTGGACTTTGATTTTTTAATTTTGAAGGTCAACTTATGATAAGATCAGGTCTGCCAGCCATGGCAAGTCGCGTCCTCAGAAGAGTGGCTATTGGATCTATTGGCTGTCCAGATTCCACTGAGATAAACCGACCGAAAGCTCAGGGGCCTGAAGAAGACTACCCTGCAGGGAGCCTTCCAGGAATACGGTAGCAGCCTCAGAGACGCTCCTTGACAGTGGTTTGATCGTGCAAAAGATCCAAACCTGTTTTTTGAGGACATATCCTCCAGATCGAAACTCCAAAGCCCAATCTGGCCTTCATAGCATAGACCTCGGCAAGCTTGCCATGGCGGGAGTTGGAGTTGAGTTGGCTGCTTTGCGTCCGTTTCGTAATTTCTTGGGCGTACAACCCCATCTCCAGTTCATCTAAACTTGCAAGTGATCAGTGTAGGAAACCGGCACATGGTTCCATGGCCATTGCCACAAATTGTCCATTCCTGGAATCACATCAACCCACCGTTTGGCGAGAAAGAAGCTTATCCCAGTCTCATGGTAGTAGATTTGCACATGTTTCTCAGAGAACAGCGAGCAGCTGCCTCATCCTATCTCAATTTACGATGAATATAAGATGAGACGAAGCACTCCACTCCAGGCCTTCTCGGAGAAGGCGGATGCGCAAGATGCCTTGGAGCCCCTTGGTGCGGGCTTGCAGGGAAGCTTTTGATAATGATGGCACCAAATATTGCTTTGTAATGACCGCTTGGAGAACATAGCCATTCAACTGTGCGAGATTGTGCCATCTTGTTTGAAACTAAGTATGAGGATTTGACATGATTTGACAAAATTGGTGTGGGTCGGCCGCATGGTTCATTTTGCCTTGCCTTTTTTTGCTTGGTAGAGTAGAGGCTTCGGACTGGTGTTTGGTGTGTAGGATGTAAGTCATGGATGTTTGGTTAAAGGAGTGTCGCTCAAAAGTCGCGGCGAACACTTGAGGGCGGTGGTTGCAACCACCAATTCGACTGAACGCTTTTAGCATCAGCCAAGGGCTATGGATGGCAAGACCCTGGACGGGCAGACACTTACAGTCAGCAAAGCTGGGTCTGGCACTTGGTAACACCTATCGTGCACATCCATGGACATCGGCATGCGAAGAGCAGTCCCTAGGCCGAAGCCCACCTACCGACCTCAAGCGGATCCCAACGAAAACTTCAAGAAGGCCTGGGAAGTGTCGGTCCTTTGAGCCGGGGAAGTGGTGCAGTGGTGCATTTAAACAGACCTTTGCAAGCAAAAGCAAGGAACATGGTGGAACCTGCCTCTCTACTGAAATGGAAAAGGGTCCTGTTAGGATGCAGGAGAAGTGAGAATCCATCACAATTGTTGAGGATCCTTTTTCTCGATCTCATCCAAGCTAGTTTCCATGCTGGAATTTTGAAGGTTCTTATGACCACGCAGACTGAGCGCGAGAACGCGCGCTATCGCAAAGACGTGGAGAAGGCTGGTCAATTGAAGCCCAATGGATCCAAAGCAAGTGAAAAGGCATGAAAGGACCAAATTCTTCACCAACATCTGAGACTCCAAGAGCAGAGACATTGGGAAACTGGAGTTAGAAGAAAAGATGTTGAAACGGTCCCTTTGCATTTGGCATCACAGCCCCTATGTGGGGCCCAAAGGCAGCTGAGAAGCTGAAGCCAAGAAGCAGGACTGATCCATTCAAGGCTCCGACAGGTTGCGTGCCTGATCGGTGTTTTGTTTCTTCCGTTTCAGCTCAGCTGCGAAGTGAACTGGTTATGACAAAACACCCTGCGCTTGAAGTGTTGTTTGGCCATGCTCACCTTGTTCCTAGTATATAGTAAGGCCAGGAGCCCCTAGTAGCGTCCTTGCTCCTAGTAGGGATGCCAGGAGCCCCTAGTAGCGTCCTTGTTCCTAGTAGTAAGGCCAGGAGCCCCTAGTAGTGTCCTTGCTCCTAGTAGGGATGCCAGGAGCCCCTAGTAGCGTCCTGTCCTTGCTCCTAGTAAGGATGTCAGGAGCCCTTAGTAGCGTCCTTGTAGTAGTAAGGCCAGGAGCCCCTAGAAGCGTCCTTGCTCCTAGTAGG